GATTATCCGCCATCTGGGTACGATGGCACATTCTCTGGGTACAATTACACGCTATCTGGGTACGATGACACTCTATCTGGGTACGATCACACACTCTCTGCGTACGGCTGCACACTATCTGGGTACGATTACACGCTATGTGCGTACGATGACACGCTATCTGGGTACGATGACACACTCTGGGTACGATGACACGCTCTCTGGGGACGATTACGGGCTATCTGGGTACGATTACAGGCTATCTGGGTACGATGACACGCTATCTGGGTACGATGACACGCTGTCTGGGTACGATGACACATTCTCTGGGTACGATGACACGCTTTCTGGGTACGATGACACGCTCTCTGGGTACGATTACACACCAGCTGGGTACGATGACACGCTATCTGGGTACGATAACACGCTATCTGGGTACGATGATACGCTCTCTGGGTACGGTGACACGCTATCTGGGTATGATTACACGTTATCTGGGTACGATGACACGCTTTCTGGGTACGATTACACCTTATCTGGGTACGATGACACTCTATCTGGGTACGATGACACACTATCTGGGTACGATGACAAACTCCCTGGGTACACGACACACTCTCTGGGTACGATGACATGCTATCTGGGTACGATGACACACTCTCTTGGTACAATTACACACTCTCTGGGTACAATTACACACTCTCTGGGTACGATGACACGCTATCTGGGTACGATGACACGCTATCTGGGTAGGATGACACACTCTCTGGGTACGATGACACATTCTCTGGGTACGATTACACGCTATCTGGGTACGATGATACGCTATCTGGGTACGATGACACGCTCTCAGGGTACGATGACACACTCTCTGGGTATGATGAAACGCTATCTGGGTACGATGAAACGCTATCTGGGTACGATGAAACGCTATCTGGGGACGATGACACACTATCTGGGTACGATAACACGCCATCTGGGTACGATGACACGCTCTCTGGGTACGATGACACGCTATAGCTATCTGGGTACGATGACATGCTATCTGGGTCCCATGACATACTATCTGGGTACGATGACAGGCTATCTGGGTACGATGACACACTATCATGGTACGAATACACGCTATCTGGGTACGATGAAACGCTATCTGGGTACGATGAAACGCTATCTGGGGACGATGACATGCTATCTGGGTACGATAACACGCCATCTGGGTACGATGACACGCTCTCTGGGTACGATGACACACTATCTGGGTACGATTACACGCTATTTGGGTACGATGGCACATTCTCTGGGTACAATTACACGCTATTTGGGTACGATGACACTCTATCTGGGTACGATCACACACTCTCTGCGTACGGCTGCACACTATCTGGGTACGATTACACGCTATGTGCGTACGATGACACGCTATCTGGGTACGATGACACGCTATAGCTATCTGGGTACGATGACATGCTATCTGGGTCCCATGACACACTATCTGGGTACGATGACAGGCTATCTGGGTACGATGACACACTATCTTGGTACGAATACACGCTATCTGGGTACGATGAAGGCGATCTGGGTACGATGAAACGCTATCTGGGTCCCATGACATGCTATCTGGGTACGATAACACGCCATCTGGGTACGATGACACGGTCTCTGGGTACGATGACACGCTATAGCTATCTGGGTACGATGACAGGCTATCCGGGTACGATGACACACTATCTTGATACGAATACATGCTATCTGGGTACGATGAAACGCTATTTGGGTGCGAGGACACGATATCTGTGTACGATGACATGCTATCTAAGTACGATGGCACGCTATCTGAGTGCGATGACACACTGCCTGGGTACGATGACACCCTATCTAGTTAAAGACACACAATCTGGGTACGATAACACGTTATCTGGGTATGATAATACGCTCTCTGGGTACGGTGACACGCTATCTGGGTATGATTACACGCTATCTGGGTACGATGACACGCTCTCTGGGTACGATGACACACTATCTGGGTACGATGACACACTCTCTGGGTACAATTACACACTCTCTGGGTACAATTACACACTCTCTGGGTACGATGACACGCTATCTGGGTACGATGACACGCTATCTGGGTAGGATGACACACTCTCTGGGTACGATGACACATTCTCTGGGTACGATTACACGCTATCTGGGTACGATGATACGCTATCTGGGTACGATGACACGCTCTCTGGGTACGATGACACACTCTCTGGGTATGATGAAACGCTATCTGGGTACGATGAAACGCTATCTGGGGACGATGACACACTATCTGGGTACGATAACACGCCATCATGGTACGATGACACGCTCTCTGGGTACGATGACACGCTATAGCTATCTGGGTACGATGACATGCTATCTGGGTCCCATGACATACTATCTGGGTACGATGACAGGCTATCTGGGTACGATAACACGCCATCATGGTACGATGACACGCTCTCTGGTTACGATGACACGCTATAGCTATCTGTGTACGATGACATGCTATCTGGGTCCCATGACATACTATCTGGGTACGATGACAGGATATCTGGGTACGATGACACACTGTCTTGGTACGAATACACGCTATCTGGATACGATGAAACGCTATTTGGGTGCGATGACACGATATCTGTGTACGATGACATGCTATCTAAGTACGATGGCACGCTATCTGAGTGCGATGACACACTGCCTGGGTACGATGACACCCTATTTAGTTAAAGTTGAGGCGCTACCTTGGTAAGATGACACACAATCTTGGTACGATGACACCCTATCTAGGTACGACGAAGCGCTACCTTGGTAAGATGACACACAATCTGGGTACGATGACACGCTATCAGCCATAGAATCTGACCATCCGAAATGCAAACCGATTCAATATTAAACTGGTGTTTTAGATAGCTAGAAACCAAATTTATCCCCCTGGATGCCACAGGAACATATATGTCCCTCCTCTACAACCCTCACTTTGAAGTCGAATAAATCTATTACACATCCCAAGAAATACGTACATGCTGCAGTTACATTTACAGTTCATCTTGTAACACTTGTCCAAGGAACAGAAATATCGTATTCGGCACTATAAACCTATCAATTGTCATGTAAACAATGTTCAAACAAACAGGAGATGATCAAAGGTTTGTTAACATTTCAAACAAGTGCAGTTTTTCGAGCACAGCGTTCGTTTTCACACCTAACTTATTTTGCTTGATTTCATCTAGCCACTTTGTCTTGGTGACAAAGACCATTGATCATTTGATTCTAAAATGTATGAGGAATTCAAGGGTGTATGTATCGCAGCTAAGTTTGAAATATACGTGATATTACAGGAGTCTCATAACCGCTGTACCTGAAACGTGATCTTGTAAGTTCATGTTTGCATATTTTCCAAAACATTCGAAACGATTCTAAGGTTATCGGAGACATTTTGGAATGATCATTGGTGATTTGATAAAAGACAGATACCCGTGATCACTAATATGCTAATTTTGAAATTCATTTCTCCGAGTAAATATCCGAAATTTAGATTTCAAAACATGCTGTAAATAACTCCGTGAGTGGTGATTTAGTAATGTGTAAAAAATGGCGACATTTACGATGTACCTTATTTTCAGAGGTCATTTTCAGTACGTTTGCTTGGCCTAAAATGCCAGTGGATGATATCACAGAACAGGCAATTTCCCACCTTATTGATAGCTGTTAAGTGTATTTTTCTGGGTGGTGTATTTTGAATTTTGTTCGACTACAAAGTGAGAGTTGTAAAGGGGGGACATATATGTCCCTGTGGCATCCAGAGCGTTAAGCACATCATAACCCTCTTCAGGTTTAAGATATACACAGCTACTAACGCTAGATACATGTATCTACATTTGTACACGCTTTTATGCAATGGATGTTTTGACCCATGTGGTACGTTGACGGACAAAAACACATTGAATAGCTCCTTGGTATTACCAAAAAACAAAATGAACGATTCCCTCATCCCAGTTTGTAATGCACGGTTAGTTGAACGAATACTACATGTGCAATGTGTACGCATTAATTTTAATGATTCAAATAATAAAATCAGTTTATGATACTGTTAAATTAATTATATATAGAAAGGAATTTTGGAGCAGGTGCATTTTTGATAAACCAATAACTTTATATACCCTGGACATACGATGTCAAATGGACCTAATCATGATATGTTCCTTAGAAAGGGGTACCTTTATAACGGAAGTCGGGCATGTTGCCAAAGATTTTAACATAATAATATATCAGTACATTGTGCATACATTCACTTCTCACGTGAATTAAACCCACTGCACACAAGGATATGCATAATGCAAAAGACATGCTACGCTAGGTTTCTTAGAAAGGGGTACCTATATAAATAAAACTGGCATGTTGCCAAGGATTGAAACATATATATAAATATATCACCTACTTTTTGTTGTTTGCAGGAGCATGTTACTGACAGGACAGCTCCCGGGAGAGATTGTATAACTGACGAAGGACCTGGCTGGGTTTTTCCATGACAATTTCAAGGAGGGTGACGTGTGCAACACTTCGTACATGTAACACAGGTAATACACCCTACTGTCGCTTTTGGGGGGTACAGCTGGCCGACGCGTCTAAGGTTCCGACCTTCGCTGTGCAAAATAATGCCTTCCCCATTTTCTGGAACAATGTTTCTTTTTTATATCCCTCTTATTTTAAAGTTAAACCCAAATATTTATTACAATTCTGATACATACCGACATACAATTATCACTGTTGAGCGGGTAATATATAAAAGATAATGGTATACGGACAGAAAACATTAGAAGATTCACAGAGATGTGTACAGGGACTTCACATCTTACACAAACATCCGACATGTGACATAGTGTGACTGCCTGATTAAGCAGTGGCCACAGAACAGCCACAGAGTCTGCTGTATACATGAGGGGTGGACGGAACTGGAAATTAGCCAGGTATACACCACGTGATAATGTAAATAATTGCAGTTAGATATTACGACAGTCAATATACTTAGCTCATCACGTAAGTTACATGAATAGATGCAGGTCCGTGCGCACGTCAAACTGTCACACAGAATGGGTCGAACTTTCTAGTATACAGCCGTGTAATATCTGCGATCATCTTTAAGGTAGGTTTCTAGATTTATTGAATACATATTAGTAAGTTTATGTAAGAGAAATGGTATGCTCAAATGTAGGCTAACTGGGCATGTTGATGTATTGACATCTGACCATTAATAACAACCAGAAAACTGTATGTCGGTACTGCAATCAGGCTGCAATGGCGGACCAACGTAACGTGATGCATGCCCTGTGGTCAATCAGACTGAACACAACCATTGCTTCATTAACTTAGCAATTAGTCAAAAGTATTTTGATACAACATCAGCCAAGTAAAACATAATAACACGTTTAATCTTCAAAGAAAAGAGATAATTGAAGTTGTGTGCTTCTAATTATAACTAAACAATGTGTTTTTTTATTGTCGAAAATTAATATGTATACCATTTCGAATGGTGTCGAGCACACTTTCTGTGGTGTTTAATTTCCAATCATCAGTTTACAGCTGTACCAGAGGTGAAATGGGGTTTAACGTCGCGTTCAGGACTATTGCACTTATATAGCGATGTGTGTGGCTGTGTTTTTTTGCATTAGTCGGGAGTTATGCCGATTTTATAGCCTACTGAGATACCATGCCGCTGTTAACATGAATACTACACTCAGACACAGTATACTGACTCCGGGCTGACAAGTCCTTTGTTTTGGCCTCTTAAAGCCGAGGGCCAGGCAGGGTAACAAAAATTACCATCTGTTAAATTCTTTGGGTATGAAGTGGAATTGAACCCCTGACCTCCCGCACTCCGGGCGGACGCTCCCCCACTAGACCACGGAGGCAGCCAGAGATGTACCAGACATTGATCGTTTATTGACGTTTGTTCTCAATCTTTTTTCGTAAATTTGAAAGTCAACATCGTGTAGTTTTTTTCATTTTATTGAAATGTTATAGTTCCATCTGTTCGTTTGCAGAAGGTTCACAATCATGACTACAGGAGAGTGGGCGGCTCTTTGGACTGTGGCCACCCTGGCAGTCGTTAGTACACACGTCAACGGTATGTATACATACATCGAACTCGAATTCAGTGTAGATGAATAACAGAACTGTAAATTCTTTACTAATTCTGTAATAGAAAATTGATTTCTGACACTTCATTTACTTGAAAAGATGTTCAGTATGAATCATGTGATATAAGTCACAGAATATGTCTTGTAAACCGAATGCTTCTACTCAGATATATATGTACGATAGATATGTACGAGTAGATTAATATTGTGATGAATAGTGGTCACTTGTGAGCATAACATTATTCTTCACTTTTAAACACTGAGCGATTTCCATATGACAATACACTAAACTGGCTTTTAAACCTGATACATTATCATTATGTGACATGTTCCGTACATGCAGGTCAACTTCCATGCCATACTAATGGCTGTCTCCATGGTAACGGTGGTCTCCGGTGCCAGTCATGTTGGCCTGGGTGTTACGGCTCCAATTGCAGTTCCTCATGCCATGGAAGCTGCCACACAGACGGCTGTGACAGAGACACTGGTCAGTGTTTTAGATGTCGACCTGGGATCTACGGAGAAGACTGCGCCAAAACATGTCCACAGCAATGCGCCAACAGTATGATAGGCGGGACTGTCTACTGTAACCGACACACAGGCGCGTGTTCTGAAGCATGTACACCAGGATGGACTGGTACATACTGCAGTGAACGATGTCCGCCCAACTGCAAGGGTCAAACCTGTAACAAGCAAACAAAACAGTGTATCCTTGGTTGTGAGACAGGCTGGACAGGAGGCTACTGTAATTCAACATGTGACAACTGTCTGATGGAGAGATGCAACGACAACGGCTATTGTCTGCTGGGGTGTAAAGCGGGCGTCTTTGGACAGGGTTGTGAGAAGGAATGTCCACACTGCTGGACTACTGGCTGTGACAGAGAGACTGGGGTATGTGAACAGTGTCAGCCTGGTTACCATGGACACCGTTGTAACGAAAGGTGTGCTGAGACATGTTATAAAGGTCGGGAGGGTCATAGAAACTGTGACCGCTACACCAAGGCGTGCCTGGAGGGCTGTGGAACTGGATGGCACGGTTCTCATTGCCGTATACCGTGCAGTGCCTCCTGCATGTCCTCACGGTGTTACAGCCACGATGGCTCCTGTGTAGATGGCTGTGTAGCAGGTTACCATGGGAAACAGTGTCACAGGAGATGCATTCATGAAAACTGTAAAAACAACACGTGTGACCACAATGGTCATTGCACGGAATGTGAAGATGGCTGGTTTGGAGAAGACTGTGAGCAGCTTTGCCCAGCACTGTGTGAGTCTTGTCTTCGAGACACTGGACAATGTTCACGATGTTCCGATGGTTACCATGGCCCTGGCTGTGCTGAACGTTGTAGTGAAACCTGTTTAAAAAATGCATGTGCCAGGGACGGCAACTGTATTGGGTGTAAAGATAGGAAATACGGGACTCAATGCCAATACCCATGCAGCGAGAACTGTGAGACATGCGACCAGACAACGGGGTGTACAAGGTGTAGAGAAGGACATTCCCTTGAAGACAGCAAATGTACCTCCACGGTCCCCTCAACATCTGGGGCAGATTCTGTGAAGCAAACGCTACATAAAATGAAACATGTGTTTCCTTTTTCTTTAGAATTTCTTATCTGTGTTTGCGCTATGACATGGCGTATCTAGAAGATAAGTTGCTATCTTAGTTCCTAGTATTCAGTGTGGGTCACATTTGAGTACGTTTTGGGCCCAGTATGTCTTCATGAATCCATAGAACGCTGTAAACTCTGGCATTTTCCTTTTTGACTTCGCACAACATGTACGACTTAAAGCAGATTATTATATATGATTTCAGAAAAGATTTTCAAACGATACAGTTTATGTAATGTGCATTCTATATTGACTTCTTCTATATGTCATTAAGCATTTGGTATATTGCAAAAATGTTCTGCATTAGATTTTGTTACAAAATATGCCTTAGTTTGTATTTTGTATTCGTTGCGTGATGTAAGTTAATGATGATATTATACATGTATATAGTGTTAATGTTACATAATTGTTTTTGTTAATTCTGTTATATGTTACATAAAATAAATATTTGTGTCACTATTCTTAACCGTTTTATCGTTTCGTTCTTTTTGCATAGTTTTGTAATCACTTTACAGCCAGAACAAAACGGGCAATATTGTTTCATTAATCGTCTAGTAAAGGCGGCATCAACGTATCCAATACGCTGCACATGACTGAGGTTTGCTTAGCATTTTCATTTTATATGAGCATTCCTGAAGAGGAACGTGTTCGAGCCTAAATGTTAAGTCTTGAGCCAGTAGTAACGGCAGCCGGTTGCTTTCCCTGTGTTACTCAATGGGCTGATCCTACAATTGAATCAAAAAAAATTCAAGAGACAAAATCGAATAATCACAATGTAAGGGACATGGGATGTCCCGGCAAGGGTAACCGATATTTTGCATGTGTCTTAGTCTGTGATTTTGGAACAGGTGTCTGCTGGCACAAAATGTCACAGGGCGCCCGAGGTCAACAACACAAGTCCAGAATCGAGAAAACAGAAACCTGTTTTCCAAAATTGATCCCAAACAGACAGTAAAATGGTTGTTCACTTCGCCAGGCCACTGGGTTCAAGTTACTGACCAGAAAATTAGAAAACGCCTGCTTGCTTGGCGACCACGTGTTGTACCAACGTCAACAAAGTGGCTCGCTCTTGCCAGACGCAAAAGGAGCTTAGAGCACAGCGAACATCAAAGATTTGGGCGTGGGTATGTAATGGGGCGGGATCACTATGACTGCTAGAACGCGACTACATATTGTCCACGGACACTGGACTGTACTACCTCGGCAACGAACTGGCGACATTGGTTGTCCCGTTTGCGCGCTATATTGGTCCACGTTTTGTCTGTCGGGGCGATGACATCCCCACCATGCATGTATCGTAGCTGGCTACATCCAGCAGCCATACGTCCCTAGAATGCATAGGCCAGCCATGAGTTCCTACCTTTCCTTCATAGGGCAGGCCTGGGACATGATCGGCCGACGTGTACACCGACGTCAAAGGCCACACCCCTGTTGTCTTTCATGATTGCTTTCACCCTTAGAATACACCACCTTCATGATCAGTTGATTGTCATGTTAAACCTAGTCCTTCCTTGTTCTTATCAATCCATCCATACCTTTTTGTATTTCAGTAATCATCCGTTATTGTCGAATATCCACTACGTTTTGTGAAGAGTGTATATGTAAACTGCAGGCAATGTTACTGTTATTCCATTGTGCTTCCATTACACTGAAAAAAAACATTATGTGAAGAATATGTTATTGTTTCCGTAGAATTACATCTGACAACAGGATGGGGACTAAAATGATATACGTTATGTATCATTGGTATCTCTTTAATGAAAACGATATTTTTGGGTGTCTGTGTCCTATTCCTTTACGTTTATAACTTCCGATGTCACTAGTTACATGTAAGTAAACAATCGTTATGTTGCTTAAAACAATACTGATATGGAAGTTCAATATTCGCTATTTGAAACAGGGGGTGTCAGACTGTGGACAATTGATTGGCAGTCATCTACATATTATTTAGTTTTCCGACGATTACTTAAGTATAACGAGTTGACACATAGTGAGTGTGATATTTTTTAAAAGATCTATTTCCATATTTTGATGATTCAAGTTAACTGAATTAACACAACACCAAATAATGTATACACAATACCGATAAGGCATTTCGTCTTTGTCAAATGATGAGTGAGTGAGTGAGTATGGTTTTACGCCACTTTTAGCAATACTCCACCAATATCACGGCGGGGGACACCAGAACTGGGCTTCACACATTGTACCCATGTCGGGAATCGAACCCGGGTCTTCGGCGTGACGAGCAAACGCTGTAACCACTAGGCTACCCAAATGATGGTCCCCTGTCTCCCCTGTTTTGCATGGTAGTAGTAACAAACAAAGCGAGCTCGGTGAGGTAACTGTGACTAGATCTTCTTGTTGCCAAGCTGAACAATGACCCTGAGTTACAGGACTGCTCACTGTTTGGACGTGTGCCTATATAGCTATCTATACGTCTGGGTCGACAGTATGCGACTAAGCAGCGTATAAGGCAACTGAGACCTGATAACCCCCCCCCCCCCCCCCCCCCCCCACACACACACACACACACACACACACACACACGCACACACTTTCTGAACTGCCATGCTATTGATAAGGCAACTTTAGTAGTGACAAAGTACAAGGACGTGCATGCGGTGTTATTGTGTTCTACTTTGACGACAGTGGGCGGAGTTGTAGGCTACCTGCTGTGACTAAGCTGCTCCCCGGGAAAACATATCTCAAGTCCCCCTCCACTAGTCAGGCGACACGGCCTCCGGGGTCAACCATTATTGCGTTTGTACTGATCACGCGATACGAACATTATAAGGTCCCACAGGCCGATAAGAAACACATATTTTATAAGAAATATACTTTTGCTATTTGACGTACGTGTTGTTGTTGTTGTACAAAGTGTTTCCTGAAATACTGGCGTCCATACAGTGGAAATAAAAAGGAGCATCTGTGTCCAGGTTTTCACCTGTCCATGCAAGTGTACACTTACACATGGGTTTTTGGTTGTTAGGACTATTCAGTTTGGGCTGAAATTGTCACAGTGTTGTCAAAAAGTTCGCAGATTTAATTCATATGACATTATTAGACTTGAATTTTTCCATTTGTGTTCAGATAAGCGATTTCGGTGATAATACAAGTAGCGTGAACAGTACAAGACGAACGTACATTTCTGTAAAGTAGGATACGGAAAAAATATGATTTCGGGATAACTGTGGATTGTAAGTTGAATTTGAAAACATGTCATCGCAAACATACAGAAATACACAGAACTGACCCTGATATGGGATGTGTCAAGATGAACCCTTCAGATAACATGTTTATCTGAGTCTTATGTTCATGGCTAAACATAGCATGTATTTCTTTTGTCGCTGATGTCAGTGGAGTCCCGCAGCTGCGTTAACTGAACAAGAGATATGCACACCAGGCCTGTCCTCACATGCGCATGACTAGAAGGCGTATATCACAGGGGACACAAACGACTGTTTTGTGTAAACAAGTGACCAACTTGTTTGCAATGGACGACGGTGTATGAAGTCTGTGGATAAATATTAAAGCCAAAGTTGGCTGATAGCCGTTCAGACGGAGAAAAATGATTCGTGCTGTCATTATCCTCGTTATTGTCTTTGCTACAGGTAAGTTTTTTACATATTGTAGTCAGGAGGGCATGTGTCTGGTTAGCATCAGAGGCTGCACGTAAATCTATCTTATATACGTTTGGTAATGGTGTATGTACCATACAACGCTCAAGTAATGGTATATGTATTATACAACGCTCAAGTAATGGTATATGTACCATACAACTCTCTAGTAATGGTATATGTATTATACAACGCTCAAGTAATGGTGTATGCACTAAACAACGCTCAAGTTATGGTATATGTATTATACAACCCTCAAGTAATGGTGTATGTACTATACAACGCTCAAGTAATGGTAAAGGATATATACAATGCTCAAGTAATGGTATATGTACTATACAACGCTCAAGTACGGGTATATGTACTATACAACGCTCAAGAAATGGTATATGTATTATACAACGCTCAAGTTATGGTGTATGTACTATACAACGCTCAAGTAATGGTATATGTATTATACAACCCTCAAGTAATGGTATATGTACCATACAACGCTCAAGTAATGGTATATGTATTATACAACGCTCAAGTAATGGTGTATGGACTATACAACGCTCAAGTAATGGTATATGTACTATACAACGCTCAAGTAATGGTATATGTATTATACAACGCTCAAGTAATGGTATATGTATTATACAACGCTCAAGTAATGGTGTATGTACCATACAACGCTCAAGTAATGGTATATGTACCATACAACGCTCAAGTAATGGTATAGGATATATACAACGCTCAAGTAATGGTATATGTACTATACAACGCTCAAGTAATGGTTTATGTACTATACAACGCTCAAGAAATGGTATATGTATTATACAACGCTCAAGTTATGGTGTATGTACTATACAACGCTAAAGTAATGGTATATGTATTATACAACCCTCAAGTAATGGTATATGTACCATACAACGCTCAAGTAATGGTATATGTATTATACAACGGTCAAGTAATGGTATATGTACTATACAACGCTCAAGTAATGGTATATGTATTATACAACGCTCAAGTAATGGTATATGTATTATACAACGCTCAAGTAATGGTGTATGTACTATGCAACGCTCAAGTAATGGTATATGTACCATACAACGCTCAAGTAATGGTATAGGATATATACAACGCTCAAGTAATGGTATATGTACTATACAACGCTCAAGTAATGGTATATGTACTATACAACGCTCAAGTAATGGTATATGTACCATACAACGCTCAAGTAATGGTATATGTACTATACAACGCTCAAGTTATGGTATATGTACTATACAACGCTCAAGTAATGGTATATGTATTATACAACGCTCAAGTAATGGTATATGTACTATTCAACGCTCAAGTAATGGTTTATGTAAAATACAATTTGTGAACCCCATTTCTGGTGTCCTACGCCAGGATACAGCTAACAGCGACGTAATACCCCATTCATTTATTCATTCATTCATTTCTGATGCTAATGACAAATAGTTATCATTAGTTGTTTTTGCTTCAGAGGCAGAATCGAGGGATGGCTATCATAGAAAGTACTGCAAGTCTGGGTGTCGGAGTTTGCTGAACGGACCCCCCTGTCAACAGTGCAAATATGGTTGCTATGGGGACAACTGTACACACCACTGCAGACGGTGTGACATTAGCGGGTGCGACAGAATGACAGGAATCTGCTACAGGTGCAAACCAGGCTATTATGGTGGAAGCTGTGATAACCACTGTCCCCGAGGATGCACGTCCAATGGGTATGAAGACTGTGACCGCGAGACAGGAGTTTGTTTACAAGGCTGCAGAGTTGGGTATCACGGCAGGAGATGTGACCGACAGTGTCCAAAACATTGTAAGCATTCAACCTGTCGAAAAGAAACAGGCAGTTGTTCATACGGCTGCAGAGAAGGATGGAGAGGCACATCCTGCACCGACTCTACTCCCGATTGCCCCAACTGTGTACATGGACGATGTGGACTGGACGGGAAGTGCAGCACGGGGTGTATACCAGGCTTGTATGGGCAATATTGTGACTGGAAATGCTTAAACTGTCACACAACTGGATGTGACAAGAATTCGGGCAGATGTAACACATGTTCTCCGGGGTTCTATGGGAGTCGGTGTAATCTGCGGTGTAATAGAAACTGTTACACAGGGCTGGACCACGTCCGTCGTTGTCACCGGGGAACGGGTCGATGTCTGGAGGGTTGTAGGGAAGGGTGGCATGGGGGCTTCTGTAACAAACGCTGCAGCAGCAACTGTAAAGACTCCAGATGCTTCAGTGATGATGGTTCCTGCGTTGATGGCTGTGAAGAAGGTTGGAGCGGAATACACTGTGATCAGGAAACAAATTGTCTTCGAGGCATGCGTGATAGAGACGGAGAATGCCTCCTGGGTTGTTTACAGGGTTGGTCAGGACGAACATGTCACGTCAAGTGTCCTTTCTATTGCGAGACTTGTGATGCAGAGACGGGGCAATGCCTCCAGTGTTCACCAGGATATTTTGGTGCCGCATGTGCCTATGAATGCAGCCTATCCTGTACCAACCTGACATGTGATATGGATGGCGCCTGCGCACATGGGTGTATAGACGGGATGTCCGGTACCCGGTGCCAGACCACATGTCGGTGGCCGTGTTCTTCCTGTACCCAGAGTGGGAAATGCACAGCATGTCTCCCAGGGTACAGGTTGATGGGAACACAATGCATAGACACTGTTCATCAGACCATGTCATCACCGGGGGCTGCTTCATCAGCTCTGTCACATAGTCCAGGTAGATATCGACGTACTTCATACATATAAAATGCAAATGGGAATGATTGGTCGTGTCGTCGTCAAGAACATCCCATTTCTACGTCAACAAAAAAGGCCCGTGAATTAAGGAATGGCAAATCATCATAGGGTACACAATGATATCATAATTCAAAACAAACATACTCATCTATGGGGTACTTGTTATATTCTTATTTCACTGCTATTTTACGAATGCACCATGTCCTTGTTTACAACACTAATATAACGTTTTTGTTACAGGCAATATTTTACAAGTAGATGCGATGGTATTGTTTTCTGGTGTCCTGGCATCACTCTACAACACACAGTAGAACACCACAGCTGCACTTAAAGCAGGTGTGGCGAGTGGTTTCTTCATGTGTGTTTCTACAAGAGTCCCAGGAGAGACTGTCGCAGCTCGAACCTACTATTTTTGTGTCGGTAGTTGAGAACAGTTCTTGTAACAGACGAATGTTCATGTTAAAACTTGTATATCAATAAAGTTCTAACTGTGTATATATCATGTTGTGTCATTAATGAAACAAAACATACAGGAAAGCGCTTAATCCAGACGGACAATTATCGTGCTGATTTCTGTTATAACAAGAAAATATCTTAAACTAAAAATACCGTGAAGATCCTGGGTTAGAATTGTTATTCAGTAATCCATGCTTGTCGTAAGAGGCGACTAACAGGATCCGGTGGTCAGAATCGCTGACTTGGTTGATGCATGTCATCGTATCCCAGTTGCGAGGCTCGATGTTCATTGTCAGTCATTGAATAGTCTGGTCCATATTAGATTATTTACAAATCGCCGTCATATAGACGGAATATTGCTGAGGGCGGCGTTAAGCAACAAGCAAACAGACTTAATTGCATCCACTGATTACGTATATTCTTCGGGGGATAGTTCTATTCATCCAAAGACACTACAACTGGCAATTGGAAAAAGGACTGAAAGTCACATGCACACAAAGTGCACACGTGTACATTTACGTTCAGATCTTTATCGTATCTTTGAAGTAGAAATGACTGAATCTGAAAAGCATGAAGGGAATGTACAAGGGGATATTTAATTCACGTCTCATTATTTCAAAAACGCAGTGCATATAAAAACCTTCTGGAACTTGCATTGCATGGACCGATGCTCATGATATCAATCACTGGATTGTCTGGTCCTGACTCGATTATTTACAGACCGCCGTCATATAGCTGGAATATTTCTGAGTGCGGCGTAAAACAACAAACAACCAAACATACAAAATCAAACTGAAAACGTTCAATTTAAGGAATTGTAGGACACAAAAGATAAAGGTTGTTGTGGCAAACACAACATAGCTGTAATCTGATTGGAAAACTAGTTATTTTTAGTAATTAATTCATGGATTAAATTAGGAATTATTAGATAGATCATACACCACAGTATCCTAATTGCACTGTCAGCGTCAATGTTTGGTGATGCATGTTAGCGGTCAGTGTGAGGGTTTTTGTGCGATGCTGGTGCATGTACAGGGTAGGGAAAGACGAGGTTCCGACGTTACATGTCATACAAGAAATGAATGCTCAATAAAATATCAATAATCCCACTATCTACATGTCACTCATGTATACATGCTACTGCATGTTTCACACATTTTGGCAACGGGCCAGACGTTGAATCAGATCTTTACACTGACCTGTGATAAGCGCCAATGTATTTACCCACCAACGCCAGGTCATAACTATTTACAGGTGTATGTGCGACATATTTATTGTACAATCACGAACTGTTGTATGGAGGTCAAACACGACACTCTCTAGTCACTAACAAATTGGTAAAAACAATTAAAAAAGGGGAGGTGAAAAATGATTTAGCGACAATGTTGATATAGCGTGTGTTTTTTTGTGCGTGTGTGTGCGTGCGTGCGTGCGTGCGTGCGTGCGTGTATATATATACCATATGAACACCCCACTCAGACAGAGTATACTGACTCCGTGCTGACAAGGCCTTGTTTCATCCTCTTTATCCCGTGCGTCAGGCCGGGTATTAACAAGTTCCATATTTGAACAACTTTTGTAAGCCGCGGCCGGGGATCGAACCGCCGACCCTCTGGTCCCAGGGCGGACGTATTATCCTACATGACCACGGAGGCGGTTTATATTACCGATCAAGAATGAACCGTACCGGTGATATTGATATCCATACATGTGTATAACATCGTGTTATTTGGTACCAGATTAAGCATGTCATTGTCGGAATCAACGAAACGCAGTAGCGATCCGTATTCTCATTTCGTCCATTGGTAGAAGGTACAAGGAGTGGGCACACACGAAATACTGAGTTCACACTACCTTGACCTTTGTCGTTTTGCCTGTAATGTCTTTATACTGGACAGGCGTCCACTGTGTTCTTGTTTGCACTGTGTCTCTACTCAACACCAGATGTACTGTTTTAACTTCTCGTATAACCATTATGATTTATAATTTATGTTTTTCGTTCAAATAAACAAAACATTAGCATTTGTATTAAAATATAGTTGATCATCTTTTTAAAAGCTTTGGAAGTGATTGCAGCATGGTCAATAATTAAAACTAGTATTTACGGACGTTACTATACTTCATTTGAACGTGACATGTTTTAACTATGCAGGCCGATGCTGTGCTATACACACGATATTAATCCGCCTGTTTGTTTTATTGACAAATGACAATAATAAATATCAGATTTTATTATTCAATCTCACCATTTACTTGTATTCACAGTGAGCCTCTAAGTAGAAATATAACAGCATTCGACAGTCAAGCATGGATGGATGTTCTAATAGATACAACCGTTTACACTTTATTAATTTATTTTTTATTTTTTAATTCGTCACTCTCCTTTGAAATGAAATTAAAACTAGATTTTTGAAATGACATAAATTAAAGAAAGTTTCTTGGCAAATGTCCCAGCATAAAGTCATTTCGAAAAGAACAATTCAATCCTTACGACCAGATTCGCGATAGCAAGCAGGTAGTACAGTAACTAGTAATCCCCTTATGATCCAAACAAACAACTACACAATATACAGTTGCCGGGGTGAGGTAATACCTCCGTGGCTGTAGTGCATGTTATGCCTGATACCTGCATGCTAAAGAGGGACGCGGGTGGCCAACTGCTCGAATACTGCGCAGAGGTTCGTTCCTAGACATGCCGGGACACAGTGCTAGAGGGTGCTAGGCCCAGGCCCAGATCCAACCAGAATGCGACCTCCGACCGTCACTTCCTTATCCATCGTCGATGTTTTCAATTTTAGGAAAATGACAACGCTTACTTTTCGCCATCATCCCGAAGCACAAGTGCCCGCCAGCCTTGGGAAGATGACATTACGCTGACATACCGCAGTCAAATGCGCTTCAAAACGGCGTTAAATCTAACTCACTCATTTTGATCATTACTACAGTTGGATTTGAAATAGTTAAGTTAAGATTCATTATGTAAACATTTTCATTAACTTGCACTCAGGTGAGTTAAATATAATGCCATTTATCATACTTTAAATACTTTGCAAATAGTAACCTTCATTAAAATTGTCATAGGTGTTTGTATGTTGCTATGCAACACTAGGTCAATGTAACTGTATACAGACACATGGAAAAACCGAAACAAACTGCTCGTGTATTCACAAGGAAATATTTGTGCTGTGTTAAACCAGGGCTTGCAGTCGGGGTTTATTGAACAATATGTAGGTCAAACGTGACTTGCTTGCTAACATTGCTGATAAGAAAGTACACCCGTACACCCGACGCAAGAACACCTTGACATTAGCGGATGAGCACACATACACTAAGGACTTGTACAGTTTCCCCAAACTGGTGTGTCTGCAACTAGAGCTCTGAAGGGTGTCTCTGGTTTGTAGTCGGATAATTTAAATTTTTTAATCAAAATAAAAATCTTACTTACTTTCCAATGAAAATGACGGCAGTTGGTGTTCATCCTATTATAAGGGCAATCATATTCGCTCCCGCGCCAAATTCACACTCTAGATACAGGGTCATACAGGGAAATCACTCACCGTCTTAACAGTTTAGCATAAAAGCATAGTATTTAACTTTCTAAAATATTCTAACCACCAATGAATAGAATGCTATATATAAAAACAAATTCAAGCTTTGCATACGTAAGAGTGCTATTTACATAAGCTGTTTATATATATGTTCATCTGTACGCATTAACTACCTTCATTCCTTCATTTCCTGAAAGGTGACAATCGAGGTGTTGGACATGGCGACATTAATAAAACTTTCATTTTAAGTTCAGTTTTATAGTGTCATCGTCATGGAAGCAAATGACATCACTCATTGTTCGATGGCGTTATTACACTTATAACGCTCCGTTAACTTGATGATATGACGAGACCGAACCAAGCTTACGTGCACAGTGGCGTTGTAATTGGTTTACGACTGTTTGAGTGCAAATAGAAAGATATCTAGAGGGCTGCAGAAAATCGGCATTATCTAAGCAGCATGTGTTTTAGATTTGTTGCTGTAACTAGGTATACGAAGCCAGAACATGTCATTAGGAAGTGTATTAACGGTAATCTTCTGTTAATCGACAGTTCCATCTCATAACATCGTACTCAATGTATTTATAATGGTCATATCACAAACAGCATTAAAAATGTAAAATATACCACGATATCATGTCTCCCCATCATATTGACATCTGTGTACTACCGTACCTACAACATGAGTATCTCAGCTGGTTTGGACATCCGGTCACAAGGTAAATGTAGTTATTAAAATAAATATACAATGTGTAAATAGCTACACTAGGAAGTGCGTAGTGTTAGTCCTTTCGTTGCACTTGCTGCTGGTTGAATCACGACGTTCTCTACACATGACGCGTTCACCACTAGAAGTTCAGCCTGATAACATGTGAAGACAGATTGGCTGTGCAGAGTTGCGCCCCTTGGGCACGCTAGAAACCCATGATCGTGGTTTCGAATCACTGTTCGCCCCGATTATGTATCCAGGTTTGTTAACATGTATGTATGTATGTATGTTTGGAGGTATGTTTGGCGGTATGTATGCTTGAATTCTATTTTACAAGCACCTCGGCATTGAATTTTCGCAAAATTCGCAAATTATTTGCGAATTTTCTGTGTAGTTTTTGCGAAATATCGTAAAAGAAAAAGTTGAAGGCGAGAAGGCGATGTCCCCTCTCGGCAATCACTGGTTCACCTACATTCACCTATATAAGTGCAATGCTGATTTTTTATCATATTCATCAAGATCAAACATTTTCAACTGCACTAATTGAGTAATGATATTACATGTGTACTTGAATAGCACTTATTCCTATTTTTCATTTCGGTGATTTCAATGGAATAGAAACAAACACCTTACAATGTTATTAAATCAATGAATATCCCAGAAAGTGTAGAGCTGGTTTTAAACAAGAGCAAATGTTTACATTTCAATGTTCAGTTTCATATTTCTCCTGATCTGGGACATTCCCCGACTGATAAGTGGTCATCCATTACACCAGCCATGCTCCTTTTATGTAAATTGTCACAGTCCGTTTTGCTTTGTGTATCTGTGTTCCTCTGTGGAGAAACAAGAACCTTCATTTCTATGTGAGTCAAGGAAACAGGGCTGCCCTCGGAGGGTTGTTCTGGGAAATCCAGATCATAAACATGGTCCCTTTGATTATCTGTGCTCGACGTGTCTCCGTGTGCTTCCTTCACCTCGCAGTAGTCGTGTGGAGCAGTATGGGTAGATGAAATGTCACCTTTTCCACATCGAGAGGGTGGTAGCGGAGGAAGTTTTCTTCGAAACCGTTTTCTCCGTTCTTCCTTTCCACCGTCTGTAGGAAGGGATGCTCTTGCTCTACAGTGTCTTGTGTGAAATGAAATAGCAATATTATAATGATATTTGGACATTTACCCTTGTAGAGTTTTACAAAATACAAAAGAGTTTATTGTTTTTCCTTGTTATGCATGTACCACTAGTCTTTAATTTCTGTTTATTAAGCTCAATGTAATGAGGGAAGAGTTGTTTACAAAGAAGGGTAATATAGTGTGCAGCACTAAAGTAACATAGAAAGTATTTGTTACATATACGTGTATGTGAAATGAAATTTATTTTAATTTATTCTGTATATTAAACCAATAAGGTGTATTGCTATGATTGGCCAAAACGGCAATAGAGTTCATATTATATGTTTAATCCCTTCCGATATGCATATTGACATGGCCATTATGTTAATAATTTAAAACTGTTCTCATAGACGTTAACTAAACCAGGTTGGTGGTTGTGTTAAGTAACGAAAGTAGTGCATGAACACCTTACGTGTAAGTGCGCGTGACTTCATAAGACACGTACCGGTATACAAGCAAAGAGATCACAACTATACACATCCCAGCAAACACAACCAAAGATATTATGATAATGACCAGCGTCCTCAAGTTGACGGCATCACCCTGGCCAGTGTCTGAAACAGTGAACGATGAGGTCAGAACGAAGCAGTATTACCTCATCTCCAAATGTACAGCACTTATGAGTGGGAGTTTAGACAGATTCTATAAATATTGGTCATCATGCCATACACTTTTTTGTACCATGGAAGTCACTTTTTCCTGTTTTGTAAAAACAATATGAATGCAACAAATAAAACAATTATTAATGATGAGGTCATTTAGCAAAGCCTGAACTCAAGTGACTGACTCAGTGTACATTGATTCAGGTCCCTATGTTGAAGGTGGGCTCGACATAAACAAATTGACAATTTGCTTTCGAAATCTAATCTTATGTCTGATCCATGTTATATGCCACATAGATGATTGATGAAAGACTCCGGCTCGTGCAATGAAATTGGTTCAGTACTCATTTCAGTAACAGCGACCTCACTGAGTATTTAAGATAGTAAGCAGGTAAAAACACAGTTGTGTATAATATAAGGAAGCAAAATTTAAACGACCATATTGGAATACGAAACATTTTATGCTCATTAATATTTGATTGCTTTAATCATGGAAACGCTAAGTACTGTGACATATGCATGCACAAATAATGGAGAAAATAATATACAGATTCTAACCTAATGGTATTCATAATTAATTGTATCAGCTTGTAAAAAGGTTGGTGTCAGTGGGTCTTACCTTTGGCATCGTCAGTTGACTTTGGATGTCTACATATATCTCCATTATATCTCTCGCAATGTTGGCAGTTGCGTGAACATTCCAGTGTACATGGCGTTCCATGACGACCCGCAATACAACCAAGTGTACAGTTGGTACCCCCGCTGGTAAGTAAATGGCATTTACGGTCTACACAGTACTGGCTGCAGGTCGTCTTACAACCAGGTCCTGTTAATCCGGCTGGACAGTCATTCGAACCTGTTGATTAGTCACACACAATTACTTGGCAGACTGATTTTCACACTGCTGACACATTCATCAGCGATCATATATACATGTATATCACACTGCAGACACATTCACCAGCAATCATATATACCTGTATATGACAGTGCAGACACATTCACCAGCAATCATATATACCTGTATATCACACTGCAGACACATTCATCAGCAATCATATATACCTGTATATCACACTGCAGACACGTTCATCAGCAATCATACATACCTGTATATCACACTGCAGACACATTCATCAGCAATCATATATACCTGTATATCACACTGCAGTCACATTCATCAGTAATCATATATACCTGTATGTCACACTAAAGATACATTCATCAACAATCATATATACCTGTATATCACACTGAAGACACATTCACCAGCAATCATCTATACATGTATATCACACTGCAGACACATTCACCAGCAAGCAGAAACACTGTTTGTGTCTTGAATTCTAAACGATGCTCCTCAATGAGAACATATGTTAATGAAGTTACTCTAGGTATTTCAGGTTTTAGAAAACACCAAACATGTTAGTAAGTGAGTGAGTGAGTTGTATTTCCAGCAATATTTCAGAGGGGAATATATACTAGAAACATGCTTCACACATTGTATTATGTTGAGAATCAAACCAGGGCATCGGAGTGACGAGCAACTGCGTTAGCCACACACACCAGGCTATCCCACTTCCCCGTCTTGAACGCCTCTACAGGAAAACAATTCTTAATATTACATGCAAATATTCATATTCGGAAGTAAGAAATATGAAATTTATTTTATCGTAAATCATATGTGATGCTGTTTGTTTTTCTCTTTAAGGGGCGGTCGAGTAGCCTAGTGGTTAAAGCGTTCGCTCGTCCCGCTGAAGAACCGGGTTCGATTCCCGACATAGGTACAATGTGTGAAGCCCATGTCTGGTGTCCCCCCGCCGTGATATTGCTGAAATATTGATAAAAGCGTCGAAAATCATACTCACTCACTCACTCACTATTTTGTTTTAACGGTTGATTTCTGTTTATAATCATCACCGCTAGAAATCTGTGTATGTGATTGTTATTTGGTTATATCTTCCTTGTTTACCTACTCGGGTTCAATTCCCTCAGATGACTCATAGCATTTTAGAGATATAAACTATAAAAACCAGCACAGATATTCATGCATACCAAACGATACGCCTTATGATATACACTGAGAATATGGTAATAGACTTTTCTTAAAAATCTTACCGTTTTCACCCTCTGAAGACGGGAATCTCAGAAAAAAGACAATCAGGACAGATATCACCATGTTTATCTAAAACACAATGAATATTAATGTGTTTTCATACATTTTGCATAAATATAAATGCATATATATATATATATGTATGTTTATATATATGGTAATAATTAAATAAGTGGAGTAAGATTGGACACAGTCTTAATTGGCTAGCGCTTTCAACTCATACCACGTATGAATCTCATCAGGCCATAACTGAATAACGGACATCCTCATATAATTAAAGCATCAAAATATTACACCCCAGTAACAACTGTAATTTTGCGTCATGATCACTTCTAAAACTTCCGGATACAAGCTTAGGAGAACGTATATATTATCATATCGAATTCTTCTTGATCAAAGAAATGACTACTCACTAGTAAATTGACTGTCGTGCGTTTGTGAAAGAAAAAAACGTACAGTTCATTGCCATTCATGCTTGGTTGTCGTGTCCTACATGGATCTACGGAGGATGTATTCCCTGACACAGAAACCTGTTGCTTGAAAACTTCCTGTTGTTACACATATGTCTGCATGGAAATGACGTCATGACAAATGACCTTTAAACATTAAGTCTAAGTACACAAGTGAGGTGGGTTTTACGTCTCAGTTAGAAATATTCCAATGTTTACACGGGAGCAAAAACTAATTATAATAATAACCTTAACCAAAGGGATACTTTATTCAGGTAGTTCCAACATGTTAAGATTTAATCACAGTAAGAATAAACGAAAACATTGTTAAACTTTGTGTTTATTTAAAGACGTAATCATCGCAATCTTGAAGACGAAAATTTACATGAAGCTAGCGTCATACATAATCTGCAGGTCAAATACCATTATGACGTTAAGATTTGGGGTAATGTCGGATAATTATAAGTAGATCATACTTTGGTTATGATAATTTTGGACTTACATGCATTGGGAACTACATGCATTGTCCATATGTTCAATATGTGCTTTTACGCGAACAGTGTTGTACATCTGTTTATGAAGAATATTTTCTTGAATTCACGCATTTATATAAAACATTTCGCCACAATAATAAGAGAAGACATTTGTTTTTAATTTCTTTCAGCAACTTTGTATACGTAAGCATTAGTAGCTATCAAAAAATAATTGGAAGTTAATTTTCCTGAAATCTTGTGTAGCTGCTTCCCGTCCCTCATACATATATATAACGGAAGCGGTGGTACATGCCTGACAGGATATATAGTTCTACAATGTGTGGTGGTGTCATCTCTTGATTTTATTATATTATTTTAATATTGACATTTATTGTTGTGTACCGCAGTCGTATAAGGCTGGACCTCACATTGAACAGTTTGAATATACATGAATTATGTTTTGGTTTTAATTGTATAATGTGCGATACTTTTATATTTATTTATTCTCTCATCCTGTCGCTCCGTAACTGACCTACTATTCGGGTCCTGATGCCACACAGAGAGCCTTATGATTCCTTGTGGTATATTGTGTTTGTTGCTGGATCAACGAGGTTCATCATAAATCATCGAATAGGTGCCGTGCTTGTACTTATTTCGGAAGATCCATTGATCCTTGGTTTATTAGACTGAGGCAGGCTGGTTTCGCTTCCGAAGAATAACGTCAAAATGTGTATGCACACAAGTAAAGTGCTGAAAGTGCCGTTTACTATCCACATTTCTTTGAAATATATTTTGTTTGGCGTTTCTAGGTTACCAACTCGATCTCATGTTGAAGTGTGGGTTGTTCATGGGTTCATGTTCTCGGCATGTCCCGCCAGCTGGTCTAAACAAATGAGCAAACTAAAATGTTTAGGGTTTGGCTTCCCTGACAGAAAGTTCACAGGAAGATAAATAAGTATTCACAGTGCCGAACATTGTTCGTATACATGAAACTATATAGTTAGGTGACAGTTACTGTTCGTATAATATATAACTTTATACAATTCACTTTACCATTTCTACTGATTCAGACGAGCTCTGTTATGAAGGTTGATCGTTATTTACCTCCTGATGAAGAGAACACTGCAGTCCAACATGCAGGGACTGTTTCGATTCCTTTTCTGTGTTCCAAACATGTTTAACATGATAATACTGATAATACATTTACAATAATTTGTCAACATCGAGATTTTTCACTCGTGATTATGCCACTTCATAACAACGTGAATCTGACTTCTTGTTTTTGCCAGTGTCAACTATCAATTGCCTACTTTAAACGTTAAATCCAAATTTATGCAAATATGTAATTTGTGTTCATCTGTCTACACAATTTGACACTGAATCACATTAATGTGTTATCTATAACTTAAGTTTCCCGTCTGATTAATTTGTCCAGTTCTTTCATTCACTTGTGCTTGTATGGCGTCTGGTAACAGAATCCCTGTACTTTTCCTCAAAGATAAAATTAACAGTACATATGGTCATAACAAGTGCTATAATCAATCTACAATCAATAATAGCAGTTTGTGGCATATAATTATAATAATAGTTCGTTCTGATTTGACATCTTATGCACAAATTAGCAGTTACATTTATCAGCATTTCTAAATATGTGGAGAACGTAATTTTAAACTACAATCACAGTTAACTACACATCTTTCTGGCACCCAACTGAAACTAGGACACCTACCAGACAATCTGCATTGTTTTCGTGAAAGCGTTTTTTATCTGTAGCTATTGCAGACGGTACAATTCCACCAATGGCAGTGTACACTCACATTCAGAACATGTTCACCAGTTGTAATTACCTAAGACTAAAGCTACTTTCCTTAAGAATATAGTTTGCTGAATCTCAGAACTTGTGAGCATGTTAGGCTTGTCGAAGAGCGAAAACTTCGAAGTTTGGTAAGTAAATATACACTTAGAAATTAATTAAGCACATCCAAGGGTTTTGCGAACATATCTGTCCAACAACAATTCATCATTCGGGTCAGGCCTGAACTACGGCGGGGAATTAAAATAATTGTGTGACTAATGAAAACACAGAATGATGCAAATGGTTAATAGTTTAATTGCATTTTAATTGCATTTTAATTGCATTTTAATTGCACTTGCCATCATACTGTAATTGAGAAAAATGGATATCCATGAAAATTATGGATCTGGGAGGATGTTCCATGATCAGGTATGACCGACTTTTACAATCCTGAAAATTAGTAGCGAGTGTAACCTGTGCCTGGATGACATTCTACCCTTCTCCTCATACCTCCAGTGAGTCTTCTGATACGACCAGGAGGTAACAATTTTACTGATGCCACTCCCGATGCAATGCAGCCTCTAAAGCTGCCTCATTCTGTAGTGGTTGATCAACTGCCTGCAGCCGACGTCCAAGAATGTCCCAAACATGTTCCAATGGATTCAAATCTGGACTCATAGCGGACCAAGATAAAGTGTGAGTAGCGTGTCCTTGATAAATACAGTCACAGCACGAGAACGAGGGGGTCTAGCATTCTCATCCATAAACGAATGGTAAGTGCACGATTGTCAAAAAATGTTGTACAACAGGATTGAGGATGTACCGATCGCCATTGAGATTCCCTCGTACTGTTACCTTGTCCAGTTAAGAGTTTTGACATATTGCTCCCCACACTATGGCGGAGCCTCCACCATACGGGACTGCTGGTACAGTGTTCCTTGATGTATACGCAGTGTTTCTGTGCCCATCTGTGACGTGCAGCAAGAATCTGCTTCCATCAATGGATCCGTCGCCATGTCCTCAGATTCCAATGACGTCGAGCCATACACCAAGCCAATCCAAGTCTCTGATGAGCAGTGAACAAGGCACGTCTGATGACCAATTCGTGACTTCAACCCAAGCCATTGTTCTTTCAGAGCTTTCCTCGTTGCAAAGGGTCCCTTCACAAGACGTGCTAGAGCCTTGTCTTCCCATACAGGTGTCTTATGGGTGAACCTGGTCTTGGATGGTCCTTTACTTCAAGTTTCTTTCGGAGTGTTCTTACAAGTCAGCTTATGACAGTATGTCCATAGCCACGATGACATCCAATGGATCTGTATGACATACATGTATCATGAATACCAATAATTTGCAAATTGAGAGGCTCTGACGGCCTCCAGCGAACGATGGATTATATGTGCTGACTAAACAATCGAATAATTGCCACTTTATCTACCCTTCCTTGCATCAGTATCAAAGTGCTTTTTCTAAAAACTCGATAGTATCATGCTTCACTTTCACATGTCTGTGTGTTTGGGAGACACAGTCAGTTCTGGCATGATTGTACCCGAGATCTTACAGACATTCTATGAATGCGTATCATGAAACTTGAATTTTATAAACGGGTATACCAGTGTTCTTTATTTAGTTAGGGGGCTTAATTAATTTCTAGGTGTATGTCTTCAGAATACGATCCCACTGTCTATGTTCCACTACTGCAGTCGTTAAAACACCCCAAATAGTCAACCAACTGTTAATGGTTATAGAATAACACTCAGTTTGTCATAATATGGTATCACGCGCAGTTTTACGTGTCAATGACAATGAACACATATGAGGAAGGAACAAGGAAATAAAAAATCGATGTCACAACGAAATTCACCGTCTTTATCATGTGCCAACCATGACCTGATTCCGTCAGTGTATCATCATACCCGAAGCATGACCTGGCTGACCAGATGTAGGATCTTATCTGAACCATGGCCTGGCTGCCCTTGTGTAGAATCATACGCGAACCCTGGCCTGGATGCGCTGGTGTAGCATCGAACCCGAACCATAGCCTGGCTGTCCTGTTGTAGCATCCTACTCAAACCATGGCCTGGTTGCCCTGGTGTGTAATTAACCCTCGCTTGGCTATTCTGGTGTTGCATCATACCCGAACCATTGCATGGCTGCCCTGGTGTAGCATCATACCCGAACCATGGCCTGGGGGCCCTGCACTGGACGCGTTAGACTATTCCTAACTGAAGATGGTACGTAGAATCAGCACCGTCTCACATCCAGTCATGGTTCTAAAAAAGTGATCCCCACATGGCATAACGCATGAAGACTACTTCTGGTGTCCCCTTTTGTGATAGTGCAGCAATATTGCCTACAGTGGTGTAAAACCAAACTAAATCACGCTAATAATGTGAAGTTGTTAGTGCCTAACGTCTTCTGCGAGGAAGGATTAAAACCTTTGGAGGCTGTGATGTCAGCCACATTTATTGAATGAGATATTGTGAGGTTATTCATGATCATGTATCTCGACATTCTATTGACCATAAACATAAACAGCTGATAAAGATAACATTCCCCAATCACTCCAGATCAGTTTCAGAAGAAGTGCTCCAGTCTTCACCTTGAATTCTGAGTACTCAGACATTTAAAGAAATATATAAATGTAGAAGCTGGGGAAGATCTCTCCAAATAACCACACACTGCTTCGGGGTGAGGCAGGCAGGTTACGTACGTATGTACCTCAGCCTGAAACAATGAAATAACATTAGCAAATAAATCTAAATCTAAAATTTGATACCAATTAATATGTTCAAACTGTTACTAATACTCTTAGCATTTATAAATAAA